TGTGTGTGTGTGTGTATGTATGTATGCGTGCGCGCGCCCGTGTGCGCTGTGTCTGCATGTGTACAGTTGGTAGGAGGCGGAAATTCCACCTCTGATTTGCCGCAGAGGAGCACGGACTTGCTTGTATGTCCATATGTGGTTTCATACTCATAATGTGTGTGTTTGTTCTTTTGTATGTGTGCAGGACTGGTCGGCGATGGGCAGCCACTTCTGGATCAAGCAGTGTGTGGAGGTGCGTGCTCATGTGTTTTTTTCGTATTTTGTATGTATGCATGTGTGTGTATGTGTGTGTGTGTGTACGTGTATGTGTGTGTGTGTGTGTGTGCGTGTGTGTGTGTGTGTGTGTGTGTGTGTGTGTGTGTGTGTGTGTGTGCGTGTGTGCGTGGTTGGGTGGATGTGTGCCTATGCACATGTGGATGTTTCTTGCATGTGCGTTTGTGAAAGGAAAGCTCCAGCTACTACGGTGTAGAAGTGTGCAAACGTGTTTACATGAGCATAGTTCTGTGTCATCTTCTGTTGCGTGTGTGTGTGTTTGCATGCATTCTTTTCCTTGTGTTGTTCTTTGCAGCTTGTACTAAGTACAGCACACAAGGACAAGTTTGCAGTGCTGGTGTCTGATGCACTCAAACTGCCAGCCGCCGGAATGTCCAATGTCTTTGTACCATGTAAGATGGTGTGCATGCGGGCGCACGGGCATGCCTGTGTGTATGGTGTGGTGTGCGCACGCTCAGGGGGGGGGGGGGGGGGGGGGGGGAGAGACAGTTCACATGGCTTTGCTAGCTTTGTGGTAGCTGCAGTTCAACGTACATTTGGGAGCGCCTGCATTTTGATTCCTGCAGTAGTGAAGTCACACCTATGCAGTCTATCCATAGATCATGCTAGTCAACAGTTTACTACTCTCTACACTCTTCTCTGTCTAAATCCTTGATGGCAGAATTTCATATGCTGTCACCATGATAGGCCTCCTGCCTGGGCGAGCGGAAAAGCAGACTAACTTACTGTGAGATCCAACTGGTTGGTCCTGTTATGGGGAACTCTGCCATCGCAAAGCACTTGGACTGCCGCCACTGCTGCTGCTGCTGCTGCTGTTGTGCAGTGTCTTGAGCTTTTTATAGAAGTAAATGTTGACTCTGTTTGATGGTCTGCCATTGCTGTTGTTGCTCCCTTTCTGCACACACACACACACACACACACGCCACACACACACACACACACACGCACACACACACACACACACACACACACACACACACACACACACACACACAGCTGGATGTCGTATCACCCCACTTGGCTCTCCGCTCGTGAAACACGACACAGCTATGGACAGTGAGGACAAGAAACCAGCTACAGTGCAGAGTCGAAAGTCCACCAAGACCTTATCCGTGCCGCCCGCTCAAGATGTGCCGCCAGCAGCAGCAAAGGTAGGCATTGAAATGCATGACTTGGTTGTGTGGGTCACGAGGGTGCCT